GCTCCCTGCTCCTTGGGAGCCTGCTTCTCCCTCTGCCTCTCTCTCTCTCTGTCTCTCATGAATAAATAAATAAAATCTTTAAAAAAAAAAAAATAGCCTCAATTCTTCATCTTCAAAAGGATCATCAACTGAGCAGGAGGAGAGAAGTGTCTGGAGCATGGAGAAGGCAAGGAGGGAACTGGCTTGGTCCTGACTCCAGAAAGATCCAGTGGATTTGTGAGCAGTGTTGTTTTACAGGGGAGAGGCGGAGCCAACCGTGAAGATTTAGGGCAAATGTCACGTTAGTGCAAAATGTCAGTGGCGCTTCCCTCCTGGGGCAAATTCCCGACTTCCTGATCAATCATGGACCAGCTCTGAATATGCTGATTTCCATTAGGAGATAAATCAGAAATATCAGGGCATCAAGGGAGTGCTCCCTGGGAATAAACTTCTGAAGGAGTGTCATTAAAACTAACAAAAAAGGAAATGTGTTTTCTTCCTCCCCTTTGAAATGACACTGATAACGTTCAAAATTTAAAGAGATTTCCAGAAGCCTAGGATAGGAGCAGACGTGCGGTCATCTAGCCTCTCACGCCGTACCTGCTTCCCTGCCTGGCCACTCTGTTGCCTCATCTCAGGAAATGAGTAAGGCAAGAGCCATAATTGCAAGCCAACTTCCACATCCTGCAGTCTTATAAAATCAATTGATTAAAGCAACAAAATACCAGCCAATGTTTGCACATTTCTCTCCCTGCTTTCTGGGTACCACGGATCCATAGAGGCCACGCGTCTCCCCACTCCGGCCCTCCAACCACCCAAAGGTGCCATGTAGCTTGCAAGCCTGGTGGCTGGGCTCTGGATCTCTCAAGGCCAAGGTAGAGTATTCTGGAGGTAAAAGATTTGCGTCAATTAAATAAGTCAATCAACATTTGACATCACTCTTCAACGAAAGAAGTATATACATCTGGGTCTTTCTGTTTCTTATGATGGATACCGGCAAATTAGTGATTGTCTTTTATTCATTATCATTTTATTTCTGCTGAGAATAAAATAAATTTGTTCATTTTTTCCTTCAGTGAATGTTCACTGAGGACATTTATGTGCTTGGCTGGGCTAGGCGCTGGGGGCACAACAGTGAACCAGAAACACCCAGCAGGTCTGGAAGGAGCTGTGTCTGCCGTGTGCCAAGTGCTCATCCAGAAGGTTCTTTACGCCTGGGGGGCATCCTACACAGGGCAGGGTGGGGACTTGATGCAGGAAATGGCCTCTTCTAAGTAAAGGCTTAGGCCACAAAAGGTTTTGCAGATCTCAGTCTGAAATGGGAGATCTTCCTGCGAGGCTGGGGAGCGACAGAGATGGGGGGGGTGTATGGGAACTCTGGTGAGCTCCGGGGGGCACACTCGGGCCTGCAGCGGTACTGAAGATCCTTGTGAGGGACTGAGCCTTGAGAGGCAGGGATGGTGCTTGGAAGCCAGGCTGAAGAGGTGAGCAGTGGGCCACTGTCCAACCCCCAGCATCCCTCCTGACTCTGAGATTCCTTAACGTCCCTCCTCCCCGTCCCCGGGGGCCACTCCGGGAGGATCTCCTCCCTGGAGATATGTAGGAAGAGAAAAGTTAACCAGTTCAGCAGCTAATCTAGAAGCATCTAGTCTGTGATGGTCCCTGAGGGAGAGAAGAGATGAACGAGAAAGGTATCTCTCTCCCAGCTGTCACTGTGGCCTAGCCAGGTGGATGAGACCCCTAGAGGTGTAAGAGCAAAAGAGGGTGCTGCCCCTGCCTGAGGGTGACCAGGGGGGGCCTTTCAGAAGTGGGGGTTTAAGAAGCAGCTCAAAGGCCTCCTGTGAACCGGCGGGGAAGAGGCATTCCAGGACCTGCGAGCAGAGGTGCAGGGTCATGGAACCTGGTGACAGAGACCCGGGGGTGACAGCAGGATGGGGGCTTCCAGAGGAAGTCCTACCTCTTTCCGTCAGCTATGGGGAGAGGCGTGGAGCAGGAGAATGGCCGGACCCCAGTTTGGCCAGAAGAAAACGACTCTGGTCCCATTGGTGTAGTTTATAGCCCGGCTGGGAGGACACCAGAAGCTCCCCAGAACTCATGGCTGAGAGCCCCCTGCATCCTCAAATGGCCACCTGCCACCCTTGATGCCACACCATCCCTTACGTCTCATTCCACTTGCCCTTAAGGGCCATGAAGTCCCTCTTTCCGGTGCCCATAGATCATGGCGAGACAAGGACGCTTTATAGCAACCGGGCGTTGTGTTTTTGCTTGTTGCAACATGTCAGTGGAAATCCTTCCTAACCACCCTCACCCCGTTCATAGATGGCCACGCTGCACCCTTGCCCGGGACAGCCAGGGTTCACCCCGCTCATGCTGTGGCCCTAGGCTCTTTATGTTCCCCCCTGTAGCTCTCACACATGTCCTGCTTTAGAGACTAAATTACATGGTCACCCCAGTCCTGACACCATCGTCTGGAAATCTGGTGCTTGGGTTTGCGGGGCTAAGAAGGGGGCGTGTGTGTTACACGTGTTTGTCCCCCATGTGGCCTCGCTTATGAGCTCTCTGGAGGAGAGAAAGACCCGGCCCAGCTCAGTTCTTAATTTCTCAGCCTGGCACAAGCTGGTGCGCACAGACATCGCAAATTGCCCCTTTGCCCAAGACTTGGGCAGAAACTGAGGAAAAAAAAGGAGCCATGGGCCCCAAATCCTCACAAAGCCTCCAACAACTGGGGTGGGCCTGTCTGGAGGCGGCATAAGCACTCGCGACCCCAGCACCCCACCCCCAGGCAGCTTGGGGGTCAGAGGAAGGGGTCGGGGGCACTCCTGCTGGGAGCCCCTCCCCCACCGGCTCTGCAGGGGTCTCTGCCCGCGGCGGCCTGGGCTGCCCCACACAGCCGACCCTGCTCCCGGGCAGGCCCCCGCTGAGGCAGCTGAGCCGCTCCAGTCCTGTGCTGCTCGACTGCAACTTGAAAAACGGCACAGAGTGACCTTTAGGGTTCTTCCTTGGCAGTACCATTTTATGAGTCTGTACACATGACACACGAAATGTCCAGGCCTAAGAAGACAACAGCCACAAGAACTCTGGGAAACATCCACCACTGGGGCCTTGGACTTTCACTTGGCACTTGCAGCTGTGTTTCTTCCCTCAGCCAGATGCTCATTAACAGCCCCTCCTGATCCAACCAGGGGTGTCTGGCTAGAAGCCTCCATGGGCCTCAGAACCCCCTGGGGGCTGCTCAGAGCAGACCTCTGTGTCCCCTCCCCAGAACTGATTCGGCAGGCTTGGGGTGAGGCCCGAGAATTCGCATTCCGACAAGTTCCCAGGGATGACACTGAAAGCGACTGCCCAGGGCCGGGAGACACGTCGTTCTGCCTCTGGACGCTGCCCCACTTACTCGGGGCCACGGCGGTCCCTCTGCTGCGGGAGCTTCCAGAACGCTGCGGGGAAAGTGGCTCGGCACCAGCTATGTGGGTGGGGCTCTGGGGGAGGGAGCATCCGAGGAGGGTCCACCTTGGGGGCCAGGAAAGACTTTAGAGGACGTGACATCAGAGGCTGAAGGATAAAAAAGGCCAGGCCATGAAAGGGAGGGGGAAATGAAGGGAATCCCTTGGGGGCAAACCGCGCCCCCAGCACCCATGAGAACTTGCACATACCTGTGGGAAGAGCAGGTGGTAACCCCCGGGGCTGGAAAGTGGGCCGGGGCAGAACCTGCTGGGCCTTCAGGAGTCAGAGCTGGGATGTCATCCAGAAGGTGGGCGGTGGGGGAGCCGCGAGGGACCAGAGGGGCGGGACTGACGACGAGACCTAGGCCAGGGCAGCAGTGACTTCCCAGAGGGGGCAGTCCTGGGACAAGGCAGCCCCAGGGATCCAGAATTGAGATGGGGTGGGTGGTCCCTAGTTCAGGCTGCTGTAACAACATAGCATAGACTGGGAGGCTGCAAGTCCAAGATCAAGGCAGCGGCAGACTCAGTATCTGGTGGGAGCTCTCGGGCTGGTTTGCTTGGGGTCCAGGTAGCACTCTCTGGTGTCTCTTCCTATCAGGACACTAATCCCATCCTGGGGCCCCACCCTCATGACCTCATCTGACCCTAATCACCTCCCAAAGACCTACCTCCAAATACCATTGCGTAGGAAATGAGGGTTTTCACATCTGAATCTGGGAGGACACATTCAGTCGGCAGCAGGACAGATGGGAGAAAACTCAGGGCTGGTATTTACTTACATTTCCAAAGGGCTGTAGTAGGAAAGAAAACAGTTATTTAAGAAAAATCATGACATCTTTGAGAAATCCCGTGCTGTCTTTGCCCATCCATCGATGATGCAATTTCTGGTAAGCCACACATCACCTCTAAATACAATTTTCTCTCCAGAAGCAAATGCAAGGGAGGTGCTGTCAGTTAAAAATTAAACAACAGGGGCGCCTGGGGGGCTCAGTCCGTGAAGCATCTGCCTTCAGCTCAGTCATGATCCCGGGGTCCTGGGATCGAGCCCCACATCAGGCTCCCTGCTCCACGGGGAGCCTGCTTCTCCCTCTCCCTCTCCCTCTGCCTCTCCCCCTGCTTGTGCACTCTCGCTCTCTGTCAAATAAATAAATAAAATCTTAAAAATAATCATAATAAAAAAATTAAACAACAAAACGAAACTCAGACCATGTGAGTTTTTTAAAAAGCAATCAATTACCGGTTTCCTCTTGATCTCCACGGGATCAAATAACATTTGGTACCATTCCCTGACGGTCAAAATCCACTCGCGAACGGTCACATATGTCTGTGCTAGGCCCTGGATGTCCTGCACTTCTGTAACAGCTCCATATTCTCCCAACTTCCTTTTTACTCAGGATTCCTTGCTCAGCCAAACATCTTCCAACACACACTCAGCCCTTGTCATTGCTCCTTTCCCTCTGATGTGGGGGCAACTGGAGCCACTGATCTCTTATTTTAAAATGAGAGTCACTGGGGCACCTGGGTGGCTCAGTCGGTTAAGCATCCAACTCTTGGTTTCGGCTCAGGTCATGATCTTGGGGTGCTGGGATCGAGCCCCATGTCAGACTCCGCACTCGGTGAAGAGTCTGCTTGAGATTCTTCCTCTGCCTCTCCCTCTTCCTCGCTGCTCCTTAGGACAGGTCAGACGCCCCTTAGAACCCCTCCACCCGCAGATCGGTCACTCTCGTCCCTTACTCCCAGACCCTGCAAACGTTCAACACACAGTCAAGACATTAAAACAAAAAACAAAACAAAACAAAAACCCTTTTCCAGTTTTCAAGCTCCACTTTATGACCTAAAAAGTAAAATCTTTCTGAAGCACAACAAGGCACTTCAGCTGAAAAAAACACCAAACTTTAAAAGGCGAGGAATCCAGTGGATGTTCTATGTCACGTGAAGGCCAAATACCGAGAAACCATCCCGGGACGAGGAGGCCGGCCCAAACCAGCTGCTTCAAAGAGGCTGTTCTTCTCGCTGAAGGCTTAACACAATGACCCTCGAAAGGCTGAGGGGAACTGGGCCCCCGCAGGGTCCGCAGGATCGGCAGCCCACTTGTAGAGACGGCCCCACGTCAGCGGCCACCATGTCCTTAAACAGCCATATTATCATGCCACTGACAGTGAAAAAGAATAGGAGCTGAAGGTTCACCAAGCTTAAAAATTTAGAATAAACTGTACCCTTCCTCCCAAATAAATAAAGCTGAAATGTCCACAGTGGCAGCTACATCAAGCGTTTTGAGCTGTTTCCCTCTTGGCTGGCTGTTGGTTTCCAGCGAAGGAGGACACACGTCCGTCAGCCCCTCCCTGGGGACATGGAGGCCGCGGGTCCCTGCTTGTCTGCTCTCTGGGCCCCAGGCCGCCCCTGAGCCGCAGCTCCCCGCTTTGGCCTCAGGGAAACAAGTGCCCTCTGCATCCTCCAGTCCGGGTGTGAGGAGATCTGGGCCTTTTTTTCTTCCTGGTGTGTTTGATTTACAATGATGTTGCTCAAGGGGGAGGGTGTTTACTGGTTGTGGCTCCCCTAAAAAGTCAGGTTGCTGAGGCACGCCGAGCACTGCCTCCAGAAAACCTGGGGAGGTCAGGGTCACGGCTGACAGGGCCAGAAGAGGCAGGCCAGGACCCCACAAACGGCCGACGCACCCCAGCTCTTACAAAACAGCAAAGACTGTAGTTACTAGCACTTTACCTGCAGAGACTCTCAGGAGGAAGAGCTAAAGACACTTGTGGCTAGAAATGGTCTGAAATAAAAACGAAAAGCAGAACGTGATCACCATCCAAACACAAAGATCACTTCAATTTGGTTTTTTAAAAATTCGTTGTTTGATCTCTCTAGTACTGTACGGTTTGCATTCAAAAGTGAACGAATTTATTTTGATAAGTGATTGTGGTTTTCAATGGAACATGCGTGAGCTTGAGTGGCTATTTCCGGGACCAGGACCTTCCTTACATGATCAGATGGCCACTTCTCATCACCATATGGTTAGAGCAATCACCTGCGGGATCATAACTGAAATGTGCGTTCTAGAGTCACCCTTCCCACCTCTGCTAAGAAGCTGGGGGTTTGGGGAGCACAACCCCAGGATTGCCTAGGAATCTTGTAAAAAAAAATGAAAGTCCTGGCCTTATTCCTTATCCCACCCCCAGATTCTGATGGAATAGTTAGGGGTGGAAAAGTCTACAAATCAAATGTTTTCCAGAAGTTTCCAGATCATTCTAGTCAGGTCTTCCCTGGCAGTGCTTTCAAGAACAAAATGGCAAGGTCCCATTACTGCCTGCATGACTCCTAATTCCTGAGCAGACACGGAAATGTAGCCTGTGGGTTCTGTTAATCTCCTCTACTTGAGAATAATTTTCCTCACTATTTGACTGAAAGAAGCAGAAACAGCACATCCATCACCCCTGGCTTTGCTCCCTGATCTCCACACGTAGTGGCTCTGTGACCTCAGACTTGTTACTTAACCTGTCTGAGGCTAGGCTTCTTATTCACGTTAAAATGGAACTTCTAAAGCTGAAGCTGCTTCCCTTAGGGTGTAGTTAGAATTCGGTACATGCCCTAGTTTTGCTCACGGATGGTCCCTAAGTCCCTAAGAAAGTGCCTGGAGCATAGTAGGTGCTCAGAGAACATTTACTGGCTGGACAGATGGACGGATGGACGGATGGATGCCCCTGAGTTCTGCTTCCTCTGTGCTTCCACTCACACTGGCTGCAGTTCCGGAGCTTGGAAAACCTGTCTTCTTTTCCAGCCTGAGGTCAGATCTGATTGCTCACATGCCCATGACTTCCTTCTTTAAAACCAACTTTGTTGTTTTATTACTGACATGTTTTCATCAGATCTGTTTGCATGTTCGTTAATGCATGTAAACGTCAATAAAAGAACCAAGAAAACACCTTCCTACATGTTTCCTCTTGCTTTCTTTCAGGTATAAATTATAGGAACACACAGTACGCAATACAGGTTGATGCGCAATCCTCCCTACGGGGCTTCCAGAGGACAAGTCCTCCCTGAGAAGACACCCAGACGCCAGACTTCCACATCTCCCCTCTTCCCCCGGGGCCGCTCAGCCTTCTGCAGAATTCAAGGGACCCCAGAGAAGACAAAGCTACCAAAGGCCCTCCCCGCGGCAGGGCTGCAGGCCATGTCCATTCCCGCTCTGGGGCAGCCTGGGGACACCCTCAGCTCCGTACGAAGTGTCCGAATTGTAAAGGGATGTTCCAAAGTGGCCATTTCCTCCTTCTCTGCACCTTCCCCCAAACCTCCCCCGATTCACAAATACTCGGTGCTGCCCAACACGGTGGTGGCGTCTGGCGTCTCTCCCTCCGACCCAAGTCCACAGTGCCGCCGCTCCAGCTCCTGCACCTGCCCTCGCCCCCGGGGCCACGGCTCTGCGGCAGCCCGTGTGTCCACAGCAGGAAAGGCACCAGCGCACTAAAGGTCACTGCGAAAGAGACAGGCAGGCAGGCTCCAAACCAGTTTATTTTCTTCCTAATCATCCAACCAGACTTGGGTTTCCCGGCCTCCCGGTAGTTAGGTGTGGCCGTGCGACTGAGTTCCAACCCAGTGCTTCTCAGCCAGGGCGGTTTTGCTCCCCGGGGGGCACTTAGCAATGTCTGCAGACATCTTTGGTTGTCACAGCTGGACGAGGAAGCAGAGACCGGGGAACGTCCCGCTCAGAACAGCCCCACAGCAAAGAATCGTCAGCCCGAAAGGTCAGTAGGACCGAGCGTGAGAAACCCCGTCTAACCAACAGTGTTGTGAGCCAGCTCCAGGCCTGATCCATAAAAACCACCCAAGTGGTCCTCCATGGGCGTCTCCACGCTCTCTCCGGTCTCCAGGCTGGCCGTGGAGGAGCCCAGACACCCTGGGAGCTCACGGCCAGTGGGGCGGAGCCGAGGGCGGGGAGAGCCTGCGTCCTGAGTCCGGCTCGGAGCAGAGCTGCCTGCCCAACACTAACACCCGCTCTGGCCTGGGAGCGAGAAACTTCTGGCATGTGGAAGTGATTACGCGTTTCTGGGCTTGTTTGTTGCAGCTGTGGCATGAGCTCAATCACAGACACACGCGCAGTTTCCTCGAGACCTGCTCCAGCGGTGTGGAGCTGTGCTCCAGTCAGCCCTGGAACCGGCGGACGGCTCTCGGGGGATTTCTGGAAGCATGAGTCCCTCCACCTGGGAGAGGGGCCTCAGGGGTGCATTTCCCTGGAAATCGATTTATAACTGACACTCCGAGCTCCCATGTGCAGAGAGGCGGGCTGCCTGTGGACCTATGGAAGTCTGTGAGGGACTTTTGAAATTGTGACTTCGAAATAAGCCCTCTAAGGGCCACGTCTGGCCATTCCAGTCCTGAAGGACTTAAAATCAGAATTTTTACACTCCACATTCTGCAAGTTTAGTTAAGGATGTTTTCTCTCATTCAGTTATCTTAATCATCAAAACTTAGTAAAAAATAAATGCAAATTCCTTTTTTTTTTTTTACAGATTCCTTAGCTCTGTCATGAGGCGTGGTTGTTGCTGTTCCAGTGATCATTTCTAAAATACAAGGATGTATACCAAAAAAGTATTCTTGTTTCTCTGAAATTTCCACTTAAATGGATGCCCTGCATGTTCTCTGGCCCCACTTACTGAGCGCTCATACTCTACCAGGTAGTCAGTGGGACATGCATCGGACGTTCAAAATATCATTTAGAGGGAGATGCTGTTCAGTTGCAGCTTCAAACAGGGAAAGGACATCAGAAGGGCTAGGCGCTTTCCCTGGGTCACGCGCCTTCCCTGGGTCACACGCCACCCACAGGTGCTCGGAAGGCTGCCGCCCACGGGGTGAGCTCAGGGATGTTCCGGCTTCAGTTTCGCTCCTTCAACCCCGACACACAGCATGACCTTCTCTCCGAGTGCCATCATCAGAACACAGAGCCCATAAGAGAAACCGAAGCCACAGAGAGGAAGGTATCGTTAAGAATACTTTATTTCAGGCGCCTGGGTGGCTCAGTTGGTTGAGCGACTGCCTTCGGCTGAGGTCATGATCCTGGAGTCCCTGGATCGAGTCCCGCATCGGGCTCCCTGCTCGGCGGGGAGTCTGCTTCTCCCTCTGACCCTCCCCTCTCATGTGCTCTCTCTCATTCTGTCTCTCTCTCAAATAAATAAATAAAATCTTTAAAAAAAAAAAAAAAAGAATATTTTATTTCAAAATGTCATGTTTCAAACTCTCATAAAATATCCATGGTAAATGTTTCCTTTTTTAAAGCGAGCATGTCTCCCAGAGAAAATTAAGTGGATCTGATACACTTTCCAGAAAACCTTAGGAAGTAACTCAGCGCAAAGATCAGACGTTGAAGTCAGACAGGCGTGGGGGCCAGAAACTGGCTCCCCTATCTCCTGAGTTTACGTGGCAGTTTCCTGGCATGTGAGCAGGGAAACCAGGGGGTCCCACCTCTGAGGGTCTCCCAGGGGT